AGCAATTTTATTGATAATGGGCTAAAAGTTATCCAAAACTTGAAGATTTTTAATCATCAAATTTGGTTGATTAAACTGCGAGAGTATTTTCCCCTAAATCGGATTTAATGTCACTCTTCTGAAAATTACTCTTTCCTATCAAATTCTTTATTTGCAATAGTATAACATTTTGCAAAACGTTCGATATCCCAGAGGGCGAAATGGGGCTGAAATGGAAGCATCGATGTTCAACTCCACATATTGAAAGGAATCTCAACGGAAAAATGGGGACAGTACTTGGATATCCACAACAATGAAATGAAGATTTATCCTCAACAATGTATTGTCCAACAATATCCACTCAGTCATGAATCTCAGACAAGAGACAGAGAACTCTTGAAAAGAAAGAATTTATGTGATTCAGCGTCGATTTTCCTCTCCCACTCCCGCCAATAAATATTTCCCGCGCATCGTAATCCCCTTCGCTTCACATCCTTGAACATTGCTCCAGACAATTATCGATGTCATTGTTTATTTTAGCACCGTACAAGGATAAAAAAGCGGGAAAAATCATGAAAAACTGATAGAGCGAATGCACCACCGATATTTCAAGCAAGGAATGAGAGATCATTTTAACACGAATATTGCGTGATTAAAATCAACTCTCAGTTTGTCTTGAACATGTTGCACGTGTATATCATTATCACCTCACGGTGTTGTGCGTGGCGCGGGTGAAGTACACGGCACGCACACACAACTATTACTTATAACACACTTTCCCTTATTCATATGAGAAGTACGAGTGTGTGTATTTACTATTGAAGTAGTTTGCACGGCTATATTATATTTGTGCGCCATGTTAAGTGTCTGAGCGTGTGGTCCATTGGACAGAGACTACTGCATCATCGGAGTGAGGGGTGAGGGGCCAACACTTATAATAAGAGATGTGGATTAACATAAATCTAACCGCGGTACACCGTAACGACTACCCGTAGGACAGGTGCGTGAGTGTATTACGACTTTTTCGCGGGAGGGCATGACTCTGTGGTTATACTTTCCGCACAATTTTTTTTTCTCCATTCTTGGGTTATTATTGCCTCCCCTCGCCTCCCCCCCCCCCTCAGTGCCTTTTCACCGTGTGTGCAGTAATATCTGGAAATAAAAGAATATTAATTCTGTTAGTGGGTTCATAAATGTAATATATGCTTTCCAGCTCTTTGTTCAGGGGACATTTTCGGTATTCTTGGTTTGTGAAAATTGTTTTATGCACGTAATGCGTATTTTTTATGTGTTTTGATATTTTTTCCCGTCAGATTTTATACTCTTTTGTTCAGCAGACAAGAGAAGTATTCCAGTTATTGGAAATGTTCAATTTTAACATCAAAACTGCTATAACGGGTAAAATTAAATTGAACATTGAAATATTATTGAGTTGAATGGATTGTAGTTTTCTATCCAAAAATGCCATCTTCGTGCGCAAATATTTGCTTAATTTGAAAAAATTGATATCTCTTTTTATACTGCGGCTAATCTTCTCTGTGATAAGGAGATGGTAATAAATAAATGAATTAATGAAAGATCTGTAAATTGAATACTCATCACGTGTTCTTTTTAAGTACACATTTGCACTTTATGTTTTGCGTGATTTTTTCAATCGAAAGATGCAATTTGTTTTCATTTACATCAACTTCTACTTATCCCATTAACCCACAAACCGCTCGACTGCGGAAAAAAGTCAAACATTTATTTAACGTTTTTTGCTGAGAGAAACGTGACGCACGCGATGTCCCGTGGGCGGTTGCAAAGCCCTCCAGAGCCAGATGGTTCCTAGGCAAAAGGCTCGTTTTATTTAGCCTCAGAGACTTTACCAGACCGATTATCCCCTTTGACTCGTGAAAATCGCAGTCCCTCTCACAATGCTTACTATTCGTGAAGTTGGATAATTAAAGGGCTCGGTGAAACCGGCCAGTTGGCATCACCGAGACCTCCAGACGCGGATCCCCACTGATGGATCGATCGAAAAACGTGACGTTTCCACCACTCCGTTAGTTCTGTCCCCCCCACCCCCTTCAGTATGTCTCAATGATAAAAGAAAAAGGCGAATGGAAATGTTTTTAAAGGCGTTTCGAGGAGGGAGATTATCTCGAGTGCAGTTTGCCAGGGGGATGACATAAGAGACATTTTTATATATCGCACCATTGGTTTGTAAAAAACGAGGTCAGAAATGTGTCTCTCTCCCGACGTATCTCAACCTTTTTTCCCCCCGTATTTTTTTCTTATTTGACGCTGGGCAACATGTGTGTCTTGATCCCGTGCGTGGAGACCTTGACAAGGGAAAATAAATTGTGGATTGCCTTCGCAGTGACTGAAGAATTTAATTGGTCGTCAGCATTGAGAGGATGCTAATCATAATGAATACAATCATTGAACTTAACTTTATTGCGACATTTTGTTGACAATGGGTGGTGAAGTCATTATTTGAAGACAATGGAGGATTTTGTACAATTATTTTCAGCGTAGAATTCAACAGTGAAATGATAAATTGAGATGAGGTGAAACAAAAGGGTGCGGGATGGTTTGAAAATGTTGGAAAAAGAAAGAAGTTTAGAGAAATTTGTTTGGAGAACTTTTTTATCTCTCACGATTTTTGAAATTTTTTGAAATTTCCGGAGCAGCTGCTTGTGAATTGTCAATGTTGCCAATTTGAATTTAATTGAAGATTAAATCGTTCATGGAATTTCTTATTAATTTTGGAAAGTCAACGAAAAAAGTTTTCATTTTCAGGGATATGTCACTGATTTTCTGGAATCTATCGCCAATTATTGGGGACTGGACACTGACTAGAATGATCCCGATCATTAATGATTTTTACCACTGAAATTTTGCGATAGATTCCTAAAAATTTGAAGTGGGTTCGTGAAAATCAGTGAAATTGCTCTTAAAATTAACGACGATGTCATCGAAAACTAATGAAAATCAGTGGTATGTCCCCAGAAATTAAAACTTTATTTCTCTACTGTCTTTCATTCATTAGCTTGAATTTTCAAATTCATTGTGACAATTGAGCATTGCATTCAATTGAGTTTTCAATAGATTTAGAATTAAGAACGATAGTTGCCTGAATTCCCCCAAATTTTCAATTAGATTGATTATCGTATGGACTTGAAAATCAGAATTTCACAAACTATCTCAGAAAAAAACTGATTCGTCGATAAAAAAAATATGCAAAATTTGTTTGAAATTAGTTGATATTAAAAATTTCACGACTTTTATCTGAATTTTCGGGCGTAAATTTCTAACAGTTCCACATTTTCCTCAAAACCTACTTGTTCCTTCGTACATTATCGGGGTAATCAAGTCGAATTTATTCGAGTGAAATGAAAATTACAACATAAAGTTTATCCCTAAGAAGACTTTCTTCGCAACTAAACATGTACCCTCGACAAATTAAAGAGTAAATCCAAATCCTTAACCAGAAAATTGAGTGTCGTGCTAAAGGAATAAGAAGGATCTTGAACGCGAGGGTGTTAAAGAGAGGCCAGATTGCAGTTAACATGCGAAAGCAATTACGTTTACTCCCATGTATTTTCCCGTGACTCGATTTACCACCACGAGCGCCACATTTTCTCTAAGCAAACCCAAAGACCCACCACCTCTACACAACTTCCCCATCTTTAGAATGCCAGTACCTACAAACTCACAACTTGAAACAATGTCGCGCGTCAGTGAAAAAAATCGCTGAGGTGTACCATGCACGGCGCGGCTGAATCGTCCTGAGAATAGTTTTCATCCTAGCGGTTTTGTTAAATTTACGCCGATCGGGGTCTAGAACGTCGGGGCAAGTTCGTTAGGACAAAACCTAACGTATCATCGTGATGACTCTTCGATCCATGAATCAAGTTTAACTGCAGTTAACGAGGCGACTGTATAGAACCTCGGGAATTTAATGAGTCTCTTGGATTTTTTGGTTGCGACTGCGGGTCCCGGTGTCATGATACTTTTTTATTTGAATATGCTGCATTGGAATGATTCAAAATAATGAAAATATTTGGAAACTACCTTCAAGGAAGAGGCAGAAGCACAAAAGTGTAGAGAAAAAAATCGAGATCTCAGTAACAGATGGATAAAGACAGACAGAAACATCGAATATTCAATTTTAGTTTGACTAAGTATTTTTTCAGTCCGAGCCAAAGAGTCGACTTTCGCCAAAATTGAATTTTTTATCTGGGTGAGCGTTGATTCCAACTATTTGAGCGACGGGCTATTCAGAACTATCAAAAGTATATGAGAAAAGTGAAAACTAAAAAAAATTATTTTTCACCCGGAGCCAAAGGGTTAGATTTTCGGTTTTGCCAGGGGGAAAGTCGACTTCCGCCAAAATCGAACTTTTTAGCCGGGTGAACGTTGATTCCAACTATTTAAGCGACGGGCTATTCAGAACTATCAAAAGTATGTGGAAAAAGTGAAAACTGAGAAACCGTTTTTTTTTCACCCGGAGCCAAAGGGTCCCAAACTTTGAAGATCTAAACTTGATTCTCAATTCTCAACAGTTGATAACCATGTGAAAAATCTGAACACATGGAAAAGTCTCCTTTTGGAGCAAGATTCACGATCTATATATATTTTTTCATTTCCTCATGCAATAAAATTTTCAATTTTGATGATTGAATATTTCGAAATCTCTGATATAATCCGCGCGAAACTGCAAAAGATCCTCGAGTATCCTTAAATCATAACCAGTAGCCTGAAATCTCACTCTTCCATGTAATATCCAAGCTATGCGTTTCACCGGAAATGATAGAAAGATAATATTCCCCTGAAGAAGGAATAATCAAAATTACCTTAAACAGTCGTATTTATCTAAATTACCCCTTGATTTCAAAGTTATTTTAATGGTCATATAATGCTACGTCGATTGCATTCGGAAGCATATCATTAATTAATTAACATCAAAAGCATTACTAAAAAATTCCAATCTAGTTTCTCCACTTGTTAATCCTTCAAAATCATTCTGATTCCAGATAAATCATGTTCAAACGACTGGCAAAAGCGAGACGACACAGCGCAGACGAGGTTGGTGCCTCGCTTCCGCCAACTCCACTGGACGAGCCGCCTGGAAACGTAGGAACATCGAATAAATTCCTGGATGTACCAATCCATCAGGCGTTTAATCCAGCGATACTCCGTGGCTCGAGATTCAAGTATGCGAGAAGAAGTTGTGGCGATGCTACGGCCATTCAGTCAATGATCCTCACCGATGAGACTGGAATTGGTACACGCGTTGGAGTTGACAATGATTATCAGACTGTCACTGCTGTGCCGGCTTTTATCGTCGAGCATGAGCCTGAGAAAGCGCGAGGTAAATGTTACTCTATGCTAACAGAGAATGTCACCTTAACGTTCGAATAAAATTTCATGAGAGAACAAGAAATTGACGTGAAATAAATTCATTTTTTTTACTGGAATATCTGTTGATTTTCTCTAAATCCAATGGGATTTTAAATTCTCACAATTAACTGAAAAATTCAAATGCAGATCGATTTTCTGTATCAGAAATTTAATCGAGTGTTTTTTCCCTTTCAGTAACGGAATATATTGAAATTTTATGCAATTTGATAATAAATATTTCAAATAAAGTTCTTGAAATATCAAACAAAACCAAAAAACATTTTTTCAAAACCAAAAAAATCACAAAACCCATAAAACAAACACTCTAAAAATCCCAATGAATAGTTACATTCTCAGAAACCCACATGACAAATTCCACCATGGAAACGCATAAAGAGAGAATGGTGAATGTCCGATAAATGCAAATGAGGCATCGGCCTATCGATCCTCAATCGTGATGGTGCGATTTTGCAATAGATAAATCAATTACGAAATCAATTGTAATGAAACAACGTGGGTGGCTGTAAAATCCGCGTTAATTACCCGTAACGAATCAATCGGGTAAAATAATTGAGAATTCCGTCCCAATTAATTACTTATATTGCCAGAATCTCCGAGTTCCTCGGCATCTCCCAAGCGACCTAATGAATTCTATCATTTACAGAGAACAATGGACCGATGATGGTCTCATCTCTCATTCCGTTATCTCGAAAAACCAGTGGAAAGAAAACTATAATAGCCCTCGCGTGATTGATGGCCGTGTAAAATGCCCCTAGAAAATTTTCTCCCCTACCATTACCCCATCTCAATTTCCCATTAACAAACTATAAATTAATAAATCCCATAAATTCCTCTCTCCAGTAGCCCGGGAAGGCGCATCACCTCAGTTGAAAACCGGTAGCCATCTGCCTATCATTGAACACTACAAAAATTTACGAATTAATCGCAAGACGCCTCGAACAATCCGGATATTCCGGATTGTATCAAACCCACCAAGCCGGTCGCGAGAGCACTTCCCTCAGCCGCAGAAACCGAGAGAAGTTGAAAAAAAAAACCCAAGATCTAAGAAAAAAAGCAAAAGTCTAAAACACTATTTTTACAGTATTGCCTCCCCCTCCACAATCGCCGTAGAGTGTCCTCGAGGACTCTTGGCAATATCGTCACGTGGCGTCTCTAAGTGCACGAAGCCTTCCAGAAAGGAAGGGAATGAACGCTCTGCTACTTGCTAGAATGTGTCCTGAGCATGGGTGAGTGCGTGTGCGTGGTTATAACACGATGAGAAACGACAACAAACATCGCAAGTAATATAACGACGAAAACGAAGTAGTTCTCAGTCTTGTCGGTGTATCTCGTACCAGCAAATACAACAACTCGCCTTTGATACACCTCAAGTGCGTGTGTACCCCTCTCTGTTTAATCGATAACTCGTTCAGGCCATTTACCCCTCTTCATACAACCAATCAATTGCATCTCCCTTTGGACATTGGACTCTCCCTCTCTCACTCTTCATCTAAGTCCCTCGGTAACTCGGTGGACTACTGTCCTTGGCCGGGAGAAGAAGAACAACTCGGGCTAGCAGCATATCGTGAAAACCGGAAATTATTACGTCCGTCGTTTGGCGTGCGAGCGAGTCTTTTATAAGATTTACGACGAAGCTCATACGTCCAAAGTCAGGAAGACTCTACTATCTGGACTTTCAGTGAGATACAAGGTATCCAACGTACACGAGTTTAATTCTCTCCCTCGTACAGGAGTAGCCCTCCACAGTCATTTCCAAGGAGTCATCGAACGCACATCACTGGATACTTAATGCAGTCCTACGCGCCGGATGTTACGAGCCAGTGCTACACATATCTCATCCAAATAAGACTCAAATGCACATTACGACGGGGCAAATAAAAACGAGATATTTGAAAATATATCATACGGATGAGGTGTGGTGGCCGTCCTCGCGGCTGAATGCGGGAGGGGCTTGAGGCAATACTAAACACGGTATTTCGACATCGTAAAAGTCAACAGGGCGAAGACGTTAAACCCGCGAATACGGTTTTGATGGTACCTAATAAAAAATATTGTATAAGTGTACTGAAGCATTCAATTGGGCGTTCTTTTTTCGGGTAGTTTGCGGCTTCGAGAACCACTCTTGATCCCCCCCCCCGGTCTTAATGTAATCTTCGTGAATCAGCGTTAATTAAGCATTCGAATCCACTTACTAAAACGATTTCGTTATTATGCCTGTGATGATGTGAATAATCTTTAAAAGATGCTGAAGAATGACTGCGGTGGCTCGAGATGCTAATCAGCATGCTAATGTGGGGTTTTGAGAGAATGAAAGAACTCTGGGTGAGGGGAGAAGGGGGCGGGGGGGGGGGAGGGGGCGAGTGCAACTCCGCACTCTCGGTAGCTTCTGAGGAGGTGCAAGGTGGAAGCGGTTGTGGTGCGTTATCTCTCGTCAAAAAGAAACATGTGTTTTCGATACCTGAATTGGTTGACGATTCATGCAGTAATATGGGGTCCCCGTTAGCTGGTTTCTCTGACACTCTGCTAAAAAAGTAGTCCCAAAAATATCCCGGTAACATGGGTGAACAGTTGCCCAGTTTCCTCATACGGGGCATCATGCACGGGGGCTCCGCCATATGTCGTTGTAGCCCGGGTTATTATAACTTTCTTGCTTTTTGCTATATTGGCATTGTATGGGACATACCGATGGATCGTATTAACGTTTTCAGAATGACCGAGTGGTCATTTTTTTGACGCTTGGCATTTTTCGTGTCCCAGAGGTGAACCAGAATGCAGTGTAGAATGTGTTTTACAGTTTGGAAATATTTTTACGACACTACGGATAACTTTGAGAAGTTTTTTTTCTCGTGGGGTTGATGAGCCGAGGAGGGTTTTTTTTAATGGAGCCTTAATTTTTAGGAGGAATTTTATTTTACTCATTCGCAATGAATGTTTCAACCGGATATTGCAGCTATAATTTAACCCGACAATCTTGTATTTATTTCTGTTAACACGAAGTTAATACGTTATACCCTATAAATTTCGTGCGAATTGATCTTTATTAACGTTTTATATCTTATTTTACAGGTTTGGGTGTGTGGGGACGAAGGATGAGCAAAAAAATCGAATCCTTCCGGCGTGTTGGCTCGAGAGAGTCCATCTGTGCACTCGAACGTGAAGACACCGTTAACAATAACAATCACGAAAGTAATAACAATAATACCGATAAATCCCCGGAGAATCGTAAAAATGATGGTAAATTGTTGTCGAGACGATCACCATCGCCGTTCAAATCATTCTTCATCAGAATGGGTTCAACTGGAATGTTGAACTCCACTAAAACAATGAGACGATCTTCCAACTGTGATGATAGACTAAAAACCACGGATAAGGAGACATTATTCAGAAGCTGCAGTACATCACAATTGAATACAAGCCCAACTTATGTTAAAGGTGACGATCCCTCGGAGGGAATTGATCTTCAGATTGCTCACAGGAAAGACAAGACAATGTCCTGCGATAATCTCGTGGATAATCACGATGATGATGTATTCGAGGGGATATCGATGACCTCATCATCGAGAAGATCATCGTCGTCGGGTTTTGGTGCTTGCGACTTCAACGATACGCGAAATGATGCGCTGAGAAAGTCGAGTAGCTGTGACTTCAAGGAAACAAAGAGATGCAACTTTCCGTATGCCTTTTTGCGTTCAAAATTGTCCGTCCTACCAGAAGAGCGAAATGGTCCTCCTCAGACGAAGGAGGATCGTCTGTTCAAAGCCACCTCTGAGGAGCATTTTCCAGTTTTAAAAATCGATGAGTCCTTCGATGGTACAACGACCCTGGGCAGACGACGGAGTAAACACTCGAGCGGGGATAATCCTCAAACACCTAGATTCAGCCGGAATTCATACGCTGAGTATAGAGGTGGTAGGGCCTCCAGTAGTCTCAGCAAATGTGACCCAGACAGGTACAGTCTCAATCCGAGTAACCTAGAGCGAATGGAGGACACGTTGAAACGTGAGGAGAGATGCTACAGTCCATTTATGCGTCCACCAAGAACCGTCCAGCCGACGCTCACTGAATCGAGTCAAGAGACCTCAGACTACACGCAAATCGATAGTTACAGATTATCGGAGACGTCTTCCTTGGGGGCAGAGCTGGATGTCATAGCGACATTGAGGAATCACCGGCGCAACTCAGCCCCCTGTCCTGAACAAAGACTGTCATCTCATTACGTGAGTTCTAATGAGTCGGGTTATGATTCGGATGGTGGAGGTAGGGGTGAATCCACTGCAACCTTCGAAAATGAAACACTTAGCTTGAAGTGTACAGATAGCTCTGACACGAGTAGTGTTATTGATTCGGAGCTTGAGAAACCGATGAGGAGCTCAACGCCGAGCGAGTGCCGCGATGTGACGAGCAATCTTAGTGTTAAGATGATTAAACCCGTAAGGAGTGCGTCTGATATGAATGAGGGGATAGATGGCCTCAGGTGGCATCAGAGCACATCTGGCAGACTATTGCCGAGCATTCATCAGGGCTCGTACGATGATACCCCGTCAAATCGATTATCATTGTGCTCGGATAGCGTGCAGAGTATTAAGATAGAGCAGCAGGTGGATTGTACACCGCCTCATCGCGTTAGACTCCAGCAGGATAAAACGAGATTTCTGAGTGACATTATTCAACCACCGAGGAGGGTTAGGAGATGTCGAGTGGTGCAGTTGGCGAGGAGGGATGGGAAGGATAGTCTGGGGATTAGATTGGCTCAGCAAAATGTGGGAGAGATGAAGTATATTGTTGTGCAGTTGGAGAATGATGGAATTGCACACAGGTGAGATTATTTTTACTGCTAAAATCCATTTTTCGTTTTGAGATTACTTCTTCATTTTTATCACTCCGTTGGGCGCGCAAAGACAGAAACAATAATTTGCAAATTAACCGGTTTGGGTTTGTGGTAAATTACGCATCTATTACGATATTCGATGATTGATTGTAACAAACTCGAAAGAGTTATTTTGCGAATCACTCATTCTTTTCCGATGAATCTTCCAATTTCTGCGATGTTCTGAGTTCATTTTTTCCGCTCAGCGTAGCTCTCAGTATTCTCTATAATATACTTCTTAGCGAAATATCGCTATTTTCCTCGACTTCAAAGATATTCATCAAAGGCTTATGAATTGTGAAATTGAATAGATCTATCTCATTCCCCAAAATTGATATTTTACTGTTCAACTTCACGTTTTCTTACCGTAAAATTGATTTCTAGGGATGGAAGATTACGTTTAGGCGATGAAATAGTCGAAGTAGAAGGTAAAGAATTGCGAACACTGAAAACCCTCGAGGAAGTACAGGAATTCCTGAAGTCATTTACGGGTAATAAGGTGCGACTGACTACGGCCTACGAGGAAACCGTACCCGAGGGATACACAGAGACAACAGCCATCCCCAAGGAGTACGAACACCTTGAGAATGCCAAGAATCTCTCAAATGCATCACAAATGGATAATCAGAGGCAGTGTGATGTATCGGGTGATCGAGTGGAGGTGGATAACCAGGTGGATAGTTTGCAGAGGAAACGGCCAAATTATCTTCCATTAACGTGTGTTACGAAGACTAGAAAGGATCCAGTTGAACCTACACCGGATGCTGACCAGTACTTGACGAGACATGTTGCGAGATTCGAGAAGGGTATTGGAAAGCCGAGTCTCGGGTTCAGCGTTGTTGGCGGTAGGGACAGCCCGAGGGGAGAGATGGGAATTTTTGTGAGGCGAGTGTTTCCTGGAGGGCAGGCGGACTCCTCCAAGGCTCTTTTCCAAGGTAAAAATTCAATAGAATAACTTAACATTCACATGAAATCATTCCAATCATATTGGTTTACAACCAATAAAATTCATCCGAGTGACGGCACCCACGGAAAAAATCCTGTCAAGGTCACATTTTGATTACAGAACATTCAAAATTGGAGTGGGTCTCCCCTTGAAACTTCTAAATAATATTTAAACAAGTGGCACATTGCACAGGTCTAAATCAAGTATAGTTTTTTGCTAAAAATTAGTAATTCGCTTCCGAGCGGTAAATTGGGGAAGAAGATATACCAGCCATGAAAGCTTAAGGATGTTCTACACCCTTTCTGCCAAAATTCACGTTTTTTTAATTTTTCTGGCAAACTTATGACGGAATTGACGTGAAAAAATATAACGTTTTTGCGGTTTGTCATTATTTAATGACTGACGAAATTTTAAGGTGGTGCGAACATTTTCCTGCGTTTTCTCTAAACTTTTAAAAAGAATCACAAAACTGTAGAAAAAACGCATGAAAATTATCGCACCATTGCGCAACTTCGTGAGCCATTAAAGAATGACAAACCACAAAATCGTTAAATTTTTTCACGTCACTCCCATCGATAATTTGCCAGAAAAATGAAAACAACGTCAATTTTGGCTAAAAGGGTGTCGAACATCCTTAATATGATCCTAAGTATTCCAAATGTCTAACACAAGCTCGATATGCCCTGGTTAAACATCAATCAGATGCCGACTACACCCTAATTAACCTCCAACTAAATCCCGACTAAACCATGATTAAACCTCGATTAAATGTTTTTTAAGACTATAATCTCAAAGCAAAATGATGCGATCGCCACTATTTTCGAACTTAACTGAAATAATATCCAAACGAATATTTTAAGCCATAATTGAAAAGATTGCGAAGATTATTTTTTGAATGATCGTTGAAAAACTAAATTTGAAAAAAATCTCACGTACACACATACATACGGACATGATCTAAAAACAGCATATTCGAACTCCTGAGACCAAAATTAGTCATCGTCACCCAAAAAAATGGAAACTTCAGATTTGACGAATACAGTGCTTCCATTCGGAAGCAAAAAATCAAAATCATATGTCAGTCGCATTGCGGTTAATAGAGCACGACGAGCAAATTCTCCTAACGTGACGAACCTGAAAAACTAGAGAAATAGAATTAACCAGACACTCGAGATACGACTAACTTACTGATAGTTTAAACTGACAACTCCCAACTATTAAATTACACGTTTGTATCAAGCCGGTAGAAATAGCCAATCATCTGCCTTAAGGAGATTTCTTACTTCGCTATTGCATTATTGGCACGCGATGGATTACTGTTTCGAGGATTCTTCCGCATTGAGAGCGATTCAAGTGGATGGACTGATCAATGAAGTGAAACGAAGAATGGGAAAAGAGGTGCAAATAAAACGTGAATTGTACATGAAAAGAGGATGGGGAGAGAGAATAAATGAGAGGAACGGTCTTCAGTTTTATTCGTGGGCACATCTCTAAGTCTGACAAAGGCTCGAGGCAAAATCCAGGCACGTAGCATTCGCGTATTCACACTCAAACACCCAGTTGAACATACCCAGAATCGTTAATCCGAAACATGGGGAACGAGACAAGCATCATAAACATTTTTGGCTGGGTCATTTTATTTCATACGCCTTCTTTTTTCCCACCTCTCGATGTTTTACGGTGTAAAACAGATCTTTTAAGTTCACCAACACTGACTTGTTTGTGGACGGTATGAAATGCATACTGATCGGTAATACGGTCTTTGCCTCATTGACCTCTTACAAGGCCCCCTCTTTTACCCCTTGTGGTGGTTTTATTTTTCATTTACATTTTTTCCTCCTTCCCCCTCGACGAGACCTCTGTCCGTTGATCCAGAGCCTGGAAAAGCCGTTTTTTTTGCGAGGATGGGAGAGTTGATGCGGTCAGTTTCGTGTTTCAACCGTCAACAGGCCTCGTGTTTTTACGACGGTTTTGCGAATAAACCGAGAGCAGTTTCCTCGTGCCTTCGAGCCTTGCTGCATGCTTCTGTAACGGGCGCTCGTTGGGCAAGTACCCAACGATAAGAGCTACCTAGAAACGCACGGTGCAGGGACCCGTTGAGTATCCGAAGACCCTTGCAAACATCTCATGAAAGATACCAGAGAGACGAGGGGGGGAATGTGCGTACGGTGTCGGTTTTTTCTCTTCTTCTGACTTTTTCCCCTCACTGTTGATTTTTTTCCCTCGTTTTTATTACAGCACGAGGACTTTGATGGATCACAGGGTACATATTTGTCGGGTAGATTTAATGGGTGACGTAAATATTTGTGTGAGTAATGGGATGGGGTTGGGGACTAATTTGATAAGAATATCTTGTCTGGTTATTTTACTAAATTGCTTATGTGGGTGTTTTTCTTGCTTTCAGGAGATGAAATTCTCAGTCTCAATGGCAAACAGTTGCGGGGGTGCACGCATCAGGAAGTTATTGAGTTGTTCAAGGCTGTTAGAGAAGGAGTAGTGGAGCTGGAAATCGCTAGGAGGCATAGGTATTTTTTTTAGTTCTTTTGGAGTTTTTTTTACAGAGATTTGTTTTCAATTATTTGCGACTTATTTACTAATTCTAGTTCTTTATATTTCAGGTATCCAAAGACTGCATTGAAATCAGCGCCGTACTAGCAAACTATCGACAATAGAAAAAGAAACACCCACCGGAAGTGCTGACAAGTTTTAGACTCTAGTCTCATTAAAAAAAAAACGGATCTTCATATTTGTTGCATTTAATTTATTTCGTCCATAAGTATTGTTTAAATCGTTCTCGTTTTTACGAATCCTTTTTAACTTATTTTCTAAGATTTTATACAAAAACGTTAAGAAGCGAGATCACTATATCAGCTTTCAACAATAGTTCCAGAGAAATAAATAAATAAATAATTGTAATTTTGTAGAATTCCAATAATTATCTATAATATATTTCACATTAAATAACATATCCGATGAATTCGGCAAATGTACAGTATTTACAATTTTGTTATAACTTTCTTTATCTCCGTAATCTCGAATAATTGAATTAAGAGTCAACTAGGAGAAGATCCGCACAGGATTTGGCCTTGGTGATCCTGAAACAGAGGGAAATCATAAGAATCAACCAAATCTTCACTCTAATGATTAATTACAAATAAGGAGCATGTGACGGAGAATGATCAAATTGACGAGAATTGAGTGGATGTGTATATTATTCCACAACTGGCTTCAGGTCAACCGATCTTAATTACACAAAGCCATCTCAGATAATTTTTCTGAACGAAAATGTCTCAAAATTCTGAAATAAACTATTCTATTCCCAGAATTCGAGTTAGAACTCGTGTAAACACTTACGTGTTCATTCTTTTGACAGGTGTATGGACAGTATACGTTATTATCGTAACATACAGAATGTAACGTAACATACGGATGATGTGAAATTGGGCACAATCGAAGAAAAAGCCATGTAATTTTGAAAACAGCAAGTTTTGGCAGAAATTTCGAGACAAACCAGTTTCGTTCCAAAGTATAAGATATTTTCCTCTCTTAAGGAATTTTCTGAGATGCCTTTGTTTATTGATTCATCGGCCTTTATAGACCTTTCTCGTAAAGCATTTCTCAAAGCAAGAAAAGACCCTCTGCTATTTCTCTCTGAAAAAACGACTTCTTGAGATATGTGTGCAATAAGCCGTACGAAATTCTCAAATTCCAGTGCTATTGTTTCGCCATAGAAAGCTATCTCCATGGATTTGACCATTCCATCTCATATTTTCCTCTCCGATAAACCCATAAAACCAAATCTTACTGAACATCCCGTTGCTTGACTCTCCTACACAAATGCAGTGCAAGTGGACCACTCTTGATGCTGCGGAACAATTGTACAGCTTCGCGATGCGTGAGATCGTGAGAAACCTGTCCATTGACCGCCAGAATTTCATCCCCCGCCCGCAATCGTCCATCCTCAGCAGCCTGGCCACCGGGCAATACTGACTTAATGAAGATGCCTGCAAAAATAATTGCCAAAAATTCTTGAAATCCCATCGAACAAGCCCAAAGAACTGCGACGAAAAAAACAATTTCCGATAAAAACATACCGATGCTTCCTTTGGGGCTGTCCCTTCCCCCGACTATGGTGAAGCCCAGAGATTTTTTACCAGGGCCTTTTTCAAAGACAACCGTGTGAAACGAAGACGCCGAGCTGCGTGGTCTTCGTGGGAGAGTGCAAAAATTCGAAACCGTTGGTGGTGTTCCCTCGATCGAACTGCTCTTCTCAGGAGAGATGGAGCGATTCGAACCACTCTTCCTATCCCGATGATGCCTGGAGTGATGTTTCCTGAAGTGAGACTTTGGCGAGCTTGCATTCTCCACAATCACCCCGTGTCCCTGCTCCATGCTGACATTCTCGTAATCTACGCTGCTCTCTTTCAATCTTTTCGGGGGATCGATACTCGTGTACCTGGATATGACAATATCCACTTCCCCGGGAGCACTCCCGCTGCCAAGCGCCTTCCTAGCCTCCCCCATGTCCAGCCCCCTGAGCCTCTTACCGTTGACTATCAAAATCTCATCCCCAATCTTCAAGGTTCCTTCCTTATCAGCAAGTCCATTCGGCACCACGTGCGCCACGAGATACCCAGGACTGCTCTCCGCAGTTTTCGCGATGAAAATTCCCAGAGATTGGTCCACAGTCTCCCTAGGAAGTTTCACCACCATAGTCTCAGTGGTGTAGGACCGAGACCTCACCACAGACAAGCGTTTACTCTTCCTATCCTCTTTCAGCCTCGATGAATCCTCCCTCGTCTCCACATGCTGAATGACTTCATCATTAGTCGCTTGGCTGAGACAAGCCAAAGGATTCTTTTCAATTCCCAAGCACGCATTATGCACCATCATCCTTGCATGATGCTTAGATAAATCAGTGCTCGATTTTCTAACGATTGGCGTCTCTAGATCTGGACTTGTGCCCAGGTATCCCTGTGTACCACGAGTTAAATCTGTGATGGATGACGTTGGCTTTCTCGGTGGTAGCTGCGGGGGCAACGAATCACTGGTCATGTTTGTGATCAGGCCAGAAGCTCCACTGCTGCATCTATCGTCGAGGAGCGAACTCGTTGCCGAACCATTATCGAGAATACCAGAGTCATTATCGTCCTGATCTTGATCTTCGAACAGTGGATTTGTACGTAGTTCATCCAAGCCCGGTAGGGTTCCATAAGAGAAACTACGGAGCCTACGTTTATCTCTGTCTTTACCATCTCGTCTGTAGATTTTTGCTATCAATCTGTTGGTCGAGGACTTCAGGTAACGATCCTGCATCGCTCGGAATTTAGCTGCCAAGCAGCTCGATGGCGTTACACTGTCAAACTGGGATCCTTCCAGTTGGGGCTCGGATTCTTCTGTCTCTATCAGGTCCATTGTTGCGCGGGGTTCACAGATATCTGACGGACTCTTGTGTCCGTGAAAACTTTTCCTCGCTCTCGGACTCTCCGAGTCCTCCTTGGACCAGCAGGATTTCGGCGATGGGGAGGAGCCGAAACCCAAAAAGCTGAATCTCTCGTCTAGATTCTTACGGGAAGGCACTCGGGTATGCGACTTTGATCTTCTTTTTCTCTTAGCCTGCGTCTTCTCCTCCTCCGTTATTTTTTTCAAATCAATCTCACACACCGATCTTCTGAAGTCACTTCTCATCAAGTTGCGTTTGTCAAGGTCGCACATTGATCGAAAGTGAGACTTTTCATCTTCCTCAAAGTCATCATCCGGCAATTTGTCCTTGAAGAAACTCAGTCTGGTATTCTTGACCCTGTCCAACAGTGGATTTCTCTTCTCGCATGATCTCCTACGTTCCTCTTGAATTTTCTTCTTGTCCTTCTTGCTTGGACACTTCTCCGTTGTCACCTGGGACGTTTGTACGTTGTAGCAGTTTCTCTCTGACTCGGAGCCCGAGGACTTCCTACGTGACCATCGAACTGGAGACATGTCTGTAAAAAGAATCAATAGTCAGTAATCAGTGGTGATAAAAAATTTTAATGGAATGTAATGCCAGAAATTGTCTGGGATAAAAGTCAAACGATAGAATTGTTGTAGCTGTATCGATGATGGTGAAACATTTGTGCTCATTCAAGTATGAAAATCTTGAAAAATCAGAGCGGCCGAGCGTAACTCGATTATATCCGATCTGAGAAAAGAGAATGATTCTTACACTTGAGAAATCCCATCCTCGTTGAGAATACTTCCGCGTTGATGGTTCCGTTCGGCGGCATTAACAGTTAATTTTATTAGATTTTTTCTAAGTACTTTAACGACCCAAACTTTTGTTTCTTACTCTCAATAGAGAAGGAGATCCGTTCGCTGGGGACGCACGCGAGCGAATGAAAAAATGTCCAACGACAGACGGTGGACGATACGATGAGTTACACTGAGTCTTACACGGTGTGGTTTCCGTGAAGCATGACGTACATTTGTACAATCTTTTCGTGAGGCGCTTTTACGCACCGTAAAGTCACTCGCAGGATGTTGGACATCCCGTATGATTCTCATTCTTTGCGTTATAGTTCAGTCACTGGAGGTGAATATCGTAGTTATGAATGGGGAGGTTTTTTTTTTTTGAATGCGTGTGGAACGAATCGGTTGGATTGGAGAGGGGATCGAGTGTAAACTCTCATGGACTTTGAATCGAATTTCGATTCCCAGGGGGGAATCATGACATTTCGAAACTTGAGATGTTATTCGTAGGATAGCGCTCGACTGGTCTCCGAGGCGAGATACGGTTTATGAGATGTGCTAAACTACTTAATGTTATTTGCATACTGGGAGATGTTGATGGATATTTTGCAATTTTCTAGTACATTTTTTTCAGGGAGATTTATCGACTGAGTCGACTTTTGGACAAGTTGTAAGAGTGAAAGGTGAAATCGTGGTTTATCGAAAAATCCATTTGACTTGGTTTCAATCTGAGAAACTAACATTTGGATATAAAGTGAAATAACGAATGATCCATTCACGTTATATAAATAAGTATTAAAGTCTTGGTTGCGTGTTTTTCTACTTGGGAATGCATTCAAATTGCTTCAAATATGAATGAAAGAGAATACCTGATTTGAATTTCTTTTTGGGTTTCAATTTTTGTTGAGAATTTATGCGATATCGTCGTCATTTATTCTGATTGGTTTGCTTGAATATGTTTACTCGCCTGCTGACTCATCGTGTGCTTCGTTTTTAGCTCTAAAAACCGCATTTATGTGGGCACAAATTGAGATAAATAAATATTCAGAAATGTTGAGTAATCCAGTGACTTTTCCTCCGAGCAATCTAAATTTAGTCAATGATTGTGTCTCTCACCTCGTGTTCCTGCTGTCCCGTGGAAGTGCAGCGATTCACCCTCGATGTCGTCATCGCCACGCAGTGGACTAAGGCTGAGTAGTCTCGGTGCCTCGGCGTTGCCCTTAAACCAACGCATCCTGAAATAAATGAATGAAACAAGAGAATCACTCTCAACTTCCCTTTCGTACTGCACTTCGTTTTTTCTTTCTTTCTTAAGTTAATTGACTTCCATACGATCCACGTAACACTCCTCTTTCCGGTTATTTCAGAGGTCTGAGCGTGGAAATCAAGGTCAGAGCATTGAGAAGTCTCTCCCCTTTCTTCTGTGATTCAGAGTGCGTAACAAACGACGTGGGTGTTACTTCATTTTGACTGCTGATTATCAATGGAACAAATTAGTCCAATAGCCAAGTTGTAAAACGTCATAAGTCGAATTTAATTTTTGATTTCATACGGAATCGTTCCGATTTCCAGTGGTCGAGAGGGTAAAATTATCAAAACATCTTTCTTTAATGTTTCTTAAGAGTTTTTCGTATGAATACAAAGAATAATAAGAGTACTCGACAATTTAGAACACGTGATTCACTATTTCACTATTGGTTGGAACCTATCATGAGAGAAATTCATGAAAGAAATCTACGTGAGTGGGATTCATCAGAGTGTATGAAAAACGACGTGAATATTGCGTCAACAATGCCTGCTAATTATTTCAAGAGTGAAGTTTCAAAACGCCAAAAGTCGAAAATAATTTAGCAAAAAATGTGATATTGTTTTAGAACGAGTGATTTCAGGGAAGAATTGTCGAAATCTTTTTTTGTAACTGACAAAATATTTCAGAAAAAAGGAAAGTTCCTTTATATTTTTTCTCATCATCCCATTATGAAGTTCGATTGGCAAAGGGTCGAACCCTTCTAATAGTCAAATCAAAAAATGTGTAAGCCAAACATATGTATTTCAATCATAAATTGTTTCAGAGAAAAAAATTTAAGTCTTTATAAGTAGTTGAGAATATTTTTTGCAAAAAGTTTGATATTTTTCCTAAATTCACTCATTAACTAGATAATTCGGTAATTAATGAGATCTCATTTAGCACTTAACAACATAGGCAAACCAGTCATAGTAAAAAATCGTGGGAAAAATATTAATGAATGTAACTCACACTCATAATTACATTCTAAAGAACCCCTTTAAAGCCGAGAACAACCTTTTTCCTTTATTCAATGCATTTACCACGATCCCGTTACGCAAATTATTACGATGGGTGGCAACGATTACACTGATGTAAGTGAGATATAAAGGGAAGGACTATCGACAGTTTTGGGTTACTTTCACCGCTGCAAGTAAAGTATGCCAGACACACTGGGCCCGATTATTCCACGGCCCCCACGTTTTCACTTTTCATCAATTATACATTTTTCAAGCAGTCCAGCCGGTGTTTTAAATAAATTTAAGCATCGTGGAATGTCTGATCAATGATAAAATGCCGATGGGTAGACGTATGGGAATATGGTATGGTATAAAAGTTCATGGTCGATCGATAGTGGATTCCCTCCGAGGAATGAAATATTTTTTTCATAATTTATTGCCGACAGCCACAGAAAAAATATTCGTAATTTCTGAGATTGTTGAAAAGCCTTGATTTTTCTCCAGGCACAGTCTCTCATTTCAGAATTGAGTGTTACGAAATTTCCAGTGGGTTAAACCCCGTGAAAATACAAAATAACACCTTGACGGAATAATACCAATTATCGTACTCAAACCACTGATTATCCGAATTATTAAAAACATAATTGCCACTAAAAACCGTATTTACTCCCTTTCAGCGAATTCGGTTTCCGGCTTTTCCCAACTCCTCTGCAGTCTCAAATTTTTTACCAACCAGTGTCTCATATCCTGCCCGACTCTAAACAATGGGAGCAGGTGTTGAGTTCACCTTGTGTCTGCAAACTTCAAAAGAAACGAAGCCAAATGAACTAATAAATGAAGCAAGAGAAAAAAAATTACCCAGAATTAACCGAGGCGCTTGACCTCTCCTTGCGACACCCGAGGTATGAAAAAAAGCCAAGTTCTGTGTCTTATGGATTTCAACATGTCGCAGAGGCTCGTGAGTGTATAATTTATCCCGCCAGTGTTAATCACTTTGAGTATGGCAGTTGAAAAGAAGCGCACGAAGTGTTATATGCCCAGGGGCAGTCATTACGCCTAGCGCACAGCACGGAACCTGTAGTGCCCGGCTGCGCCTGTATCCGCACTCTGGGAAAAAAAGCGATAAACAAAAGATGAAAGATTAAAGTGGAAGGAAAAATCGGTAGAATTTCCCTCGCCGATAACATACGAGTTGGACGCGTGGCATTTGGAATTGAAACTACGCAGAACTTTCACCGTGCGGTTAAATTCACGAGCTAGACCTCGCTGTCTTGTCATTAACACCAGCTATCGCAGACGTCTAAAACGAATTTGACAACTTTCACTAAATCAAATAAGTCCATGGAGGAATTAAACGATTCGATTTGATTTCCCATCTGGCCATTTTTCCCCCTCGATTTAATTGACTGGCGATATCCAATTGAGCCTTTGATTTTTATACCGGCCACGTTTTCTAAGAGCCAATAGTCGTTAAGAACGAAAATTGCCGTGGGAGAGGAGACTAATGTCAATTCCAAGCGATCCGTTTGTGAATTTCCAACGGCAAAAAAAAGAAATAAGGGGATAAGAACAGATGGAGAATGCCTTGGACATCTATTGCGCAAAGGGAAAATAAGCGGGAGTGCAGCTACTTTATTCATACCAGAGTACAATAAGAAATACTCTGAATACCGTTTAACTTAATTCGTCGGGGAGTAAAAAATATGAGATAAAAGTGGAGGTATAGAGTCACTTGTAATGTTGGCACGACTTCCTGCTGCTTTCTAAGAATAATAAATTGCACTGGAGTAATAATTTGCAATTAGAATTTTATAAACTATGTGATTCCATTTTTTTAATTCGTCAGAATTATTGCAAATATCTCTGTGAATTTTTTCTTCGGAGGAATGGAATTCGAGGACATCAGTTTAATTTGAGTAGCTGCCATGTTAACTGTGAATACATTGTCTTAAATAATCTTTCATTTTCTTGGAACAGCTAAAAAGTTACAGCTGGAGATAAAGTCCCTCGTAATTCCGTCATATAACAATTTAAATTAAAGAAACTCCCGTCTGAATGGACCATAGAATTTATTTTCATGCGGATAAAAACACTGTGATATTAATAAATTTCCTCCTTTCACTTTCACCTCGATTCAATTAATCATTAATTTTTCTAATCATTTCTCTCAGATTGGTGCTGATATTATCAATTTTAGTCGTCAGTTTTATCGTGTATTGCGGCGAGAGAATTGTGAAGGTGACGTTTTTAAGGCCAAAAATACGTAAACAAATTTATTACGATTCCGAAGTAATTACTCTGAGGATGGAAAAAATCAAATTCTTATCTTAAACGACTTTTATTAGCTTAATTGAGAATTTGAGTCATAATATTAACTGCGAATACAATGTCGTAAACCATCTCTCATTTTCTTGGAAGAACTTAAAAATCCAGTTGTGATAAAGTCCCTCGTAATTCCGCCCACTTTCCTACTACATTGAAATAATAATAATTAAAATTAAAGATACTTCCATCTGAGTAGACCATAAAATTCATTTCTATGTTGATAAATGCATTGAATTTATGAATTTCACACTTTCACTTTCACCTCCATTGACTCAATCATTAATTGTTCCAATCATCTTCCTCAGATTGGTGTTAGAATTATCAATTTTTCCTTGAATAGAAAATCAAATTCTGATCTTCAAACACAATTGCTACCCAAGAAGAATAAATAACCCTCAAGTAATAATTCGCTATTAGAATTTCATAAACTATCTAATTCAATTTTTCTATGCGTTCAAATAATTACAAATATCTCTCTGAATTTATTTCGGAGGAATGGAAGCCGAGGGCATCAGTTTAATTAGAAATAGAAGTCACGTTAACTGTGAATACATTCTCTCGAATCGCTCATTTTCTTGGAACAACTTAACAGCCCAGTTGAAGATAAAGTCCCTCGTTATTCCGTCCACTTTCCTACTACATCGAAATAATAACAATTGAAATTAAAGAAACTTCCATCTGAGTGGACCATAAAATTTATTCCCATGTTGATAAAAGCGTTGAATTAATAAATTTTCCCCTTTCACTTTCACCACCATTCAATTAATCATTAGTTTATAATCATCTCCCCCGGTTTGGTGCTAACATTATCAATTTTATTTTCCAGTTTCATCGTGTATTATGGCCACAGCATTACAGGCGACTTTTTCATGACTCGCGAAGATCCACTAACGTCTAGTGCCCCGAGGGGACACTTTGCACTCCATACGAGGAGAAACCCAACTAACCTAACTAACGAGTGTCTCATCATTATTATATTCTTTTTTATTATGAAGTCATCTTGGTAATTTAATACTGAACCTCGACCTGTTATGAGCGCTGTCAGGAATTTTAAAAATGAAAATTTCAAGAAGCTGCAATAGTTTGAGTGCCAGTCACACAATCAAGTGAGAAACCAAGTGCATAATTATAATGGTAGCCATTAATTTTCAAGCAATTTGCAATAAATTGTTTCTTTTTTCGTCATTCTATTTTTGAGAAATAATTCGCGTGGCATGAGCGGCAAGATTCAAATCGAGTTCTGCCTTTGGTACAGAGAGGAGACGACACGCGAACATAGAGACCGGATCAGCTAGTTATAGCGATATGGTTGTGTTTCACTGCGGGAGCAAAAGTGCCCGTGGTTTATTAAAAGTTGGAGAAAATACACGTCGGGCAATTAACGTCGGAATTCCGTACTCGCCATTACGGTATGGTTACAGTGTATTTATATTTATGGATTCGGAAATATTCACGTGATACTCTGTTTCTTTTGCACTCGTGAGTATGCCAGCGAGAGGAGTGGTGACAAATCGTGTGGCGCTCGCTAGTTCGTCATTTTGCCTCTGATGCATTCCAGTGTAAACGAGAATTTATCTGTAATTTAACCACAATCTCCCTCAAGGACTTCTGGGGATATTATAATTTTATATCTTTTTTTTCAGTCTTGAGTGCATAAAATCGCTTC